TATTATCCTAGTTGCATGAGATTACACGCGTGAGTGTTTGCCAGTTTGGAGCCAGGGTGAAAACAAGAGAGCATAATGTATAAATTATTATTATGACATTAAAAGACACAAGAAAGATGAAGCATTAAGAATCTTGGGCTGAAACTTCAGAGGCACCAAAAGATGCAGATAGGCACCTACTTGGATTTTCCAAAGCACCTGACCTCATGGGAGGTAGGTGCCTAGATATTTTTTGAAAATGCCAGTGAATACCTATCTGCCTCTTTAGGTGCCTATATATCTTTACAAATCTTGCCCCTCATCCAAAGCCCACTAAAGTCAATAAAAAGCCTCTCATGGACTTGGATTACAGTGATCTTTGGATCAGGTCCTATTTATTGGCTTATGTACATTAGAAAGTTGTATCACCTTACCTACATCAGTACTGTTAAAGTGGTACAACACTGATGTGTGGAGACACTTATGTTGATATAAAAGTGCTTTACAATGGTATGCCTATTCCCATAGAGGAAGGGGAATAATTATCCTGTTCTAAATCACCTTACACAAACTATGTGTGTAACTACGCCCACACTAAGGTTTTTTCAGACATAGCTGTTTGTGTAAAAGAAACTCCAGATCACTAAAATAACTATATAATTACAACTTTTAAGCATAGACCAGTTCTAAGTGACTGTTGCTTCTCAGTCAAACTCAGTCATGCAACTATTTACCCTACTCCTCCTTGAGGCCCCAGCTGTGCTATGCAAGGTACATACATACATACGTGTAATTAAAAAAAACCCACGTCTCTGTCCCAATTTTTTCCACTGTATTGTCTCAACATATGGGCCCTGATCCTATATATACATACATGCTTATCTTGAATTGCTTCTGTGCTTAAATGTTGGTAGGATTAGACTTTAAGGGTACGTCTAGACTACAGGCTTTTGTCGACAGAAGTTTTGTCGACAGATACTGTCGACAAAGCTTCTGTCGACAAAGAGCGTCTAGACTACATTCAGTTCTGTCGACAAAGCAAGCTGCTTTGTCGACAAAACCCTGTAGTCTAGACACAACCTTAGATGCAATAACACCTTCTGTCGACAGAACTCTGTCGACAAAAGGCGTTATGCCTCATAAAATGAGGTTTACCAGCGTCGACAAAACTGCTGAGTTCTGTTGACGTTATGTCAACAGAACTCAGCGGTAGTGTAGACGCAGGTATAGTTTTGTCGACAAAAATCCACTTTTGTCGACAAAACTCTATAGTCTAGACACACCCTGAGAATATAAGATCTTTGGGACAGAAGCTTGCGTTTTTAAAATTACATGTACATATGTATGTATCTTACATAGCATAATTGGGGCCCGGATTGAAGCCTCTAGAGCTGGTGTGGCCAAACTTACAGATCCTTCAAGCTGCATTTGTCAGTCTTCAGAAATTTGAGAGCTGGGGTCCACCGGCTGGAACTAGAGGCTTCAACCCTGCTCCTGCATAAGCCCCGAGCCCCAGCAGGTGTGCCACTTGGGGGCTGAAGCCCTGAGATCCTCTTCCACACTGGATAGAAGCCCTAAGACTCCCTCACTGCTTGGCAGAAGCCTCTACCCCAACATCCTGCTGCAAGGTTCCCGAGCTCCCCTCAGTAGATTGATAAGTGAAGAATAAGGGAAGAGACATGGGGGGGCTCCCTGAACCTCACTTTAATGGTAAAAGAGCTGCATGTGGCTCTTGAGCCATAGTTTGGCCACCCCTGCTCTAGAGGCTGCTGCAATTCAAATTAGGGATGTAAAATCCCATTTAATTGGTTAATCAGTTAAACGTGATGTTTAACCAGTTAACAGATTAAATGGGGTGTGGGCAGGGCCTGCTGGGCTGGTGTCCCTCCCCACCTGCCATGGCTGAGCTGGAGCGGCCCTGTCCACATAAGACCTAGGTGCATCACAGGCAGGGGCTGCTCTGGACAACTGGAGCAGTCCCTGTCTGTGGTGGGCCCCCCACAGGACTGGAGTAGCTCCCTGCCCATGGCAGGTGGGGAACTGCTCCAGCTCCCACTAGCTAACCAGAACCAGTAAGCATCATCCATTAAAGGTGATGCTTAATGGTTAACTGGTTATCCTTTCACATCCCTAATTCGGATAATACATAATGCTAATTAAGCGAGAAGAAACGATGTATTCAGTTTAAAACAACATTGTGTATTTATTGTCACCTATTTCTATTCAGTGACTGACATTCAGGCTTACAAGAAGCCTTTGGCTTTGTGAATACACAAAAATTGTACTGCTTGTAACTATATACTCCTGGGACCATTCTGTTCCAAAAAGTTAAAATGTTCTGCAAAATGTATGTGTCAAAATAACACTACATAATCACACCAATTTCAATTATTTTAGTAACTTATTTCAAAATACCTGTCAGCAAGTGTGTGTCTAACAATATAGACACACACTTAGGGTATGTCTACACTACCCCCCTAGTTCGAACTAGGGGGGGGAATGTAGTCATACGGAGTTGCAATTGAAGCCCGGGATTTGAATTTCCCGGGCTTCAATTGCAACTCCGTATGACTACATTCCCCCCCCTAGTTCGAACTAGGGGGGGGAATGTAGTCATACGGAGTTGCAATTGAAGCCCGGGATTTGAATTTCCCGGGCTTCAATTGCAACTCCGTATGACTACATTCCCCCCCCTAGTTCGAACTAGGGGGGGGAATGTAGTCATACGGAGTTGCAATTGAAGCCCGGGATTTGAATTTCCCGGGCTTCAATTGCAACTCCGTATGACTACATTCCCCCCCCTAGTTCGAACTAGGGGGGTAGTGTAGACATACCCAAAAGGAGGTATGGAGTACTCAGGAGCAGGGAGTTAATGAAACCCCTAAGACAACCCTATCAAGGCCCCCCCTTCAAGGCCAACCAAGAGGCCAGGCACCTGCAATCTCTTTGCCCCAAAGCCCATGTGAACCCCTTCTTCCCCAGAGCCCAACTGAAGGGCTCCACCAGCCCAGATACCTATAGCCTATCCCCTCCAGAGCACAGCTGCAGGACCGTCTCACCCCAGACACCCATCCCTTCCCCCTCTCCCCAAGACAAGCTGTGGGGTTGCCATTCCCCAGAC